ACTACTACTACTACTACTACTACTACTACTACTACTACTACTACTACTACTACTACTACTAGTAGTAGTCTAGGTCCTAGTGGTATTTGTCTTGGGGCGCTTGCACAAGTGACAACAACAAAAAACAACCGTAAACGCAAGTAATCATGAACCCCCTGCATCTTGAGGACAACAACGATTTTTTTTTTCTCTTCTGGTCAGTTTCTCAACATGTTTCTCACACAAGTTTCACTTCAACATACTTCAACTCTATGTTGCGCAACCAGGAACGCTTGGACAAGTCGATCTTGGCGTCCATGTCGTGTCGATACACGAAGCTCTCCACAGCCTGCGCTGTACCGCGCACACACACACACACCCTTCCTTGCGTAGAATGATTCAGGGTGTTCGAATTGATTTTGTTTAGGACAAACGTATAATTAGGGCCAAGCCCTCTACCACTCCCAAGACCCAACTTCTTTATTAGGTGAAGATGTTTGGAAGAAAAAGCTCCCTACATTCTCAGGGGACCACAAGTCCGGGCCGGAGTCCGGGCATGACGGACTGTGTTTGGATCGAGGGTCCGCGATTTGGGAATCAAGGACGGGAACACATTCTGTTCTTGGATAGTATACTAACTGATATGAGTCGAGATGTGGCCCGTGATGATCCATCGCTCCTGGGTATGATTGGGTTGATCTGGAGAAAGCAAAATGCCAGGTTTGATCTAAGGGTCAAAGGCCTGAACATCCACATTTCTGAGCTGAGGTCATGCTAGACAAGGGATCCATCAATAGGTGGTCAAGATTTGGTCCATTCATCTCCATTCACCATGAGTATCCCAACAAGAATGTCCTTTTCAGTTTCTTCACAGCTTCACGGCTGCATCTGCTTGATCCACTCCATGGTACCTGCCTCTGTCGACACCTCAGGACCTGCCAAACTCGCTCGCCGATCCGATTCCAGCGCCTCACCGTCCTTCTTCATCGACCAAATGGTCAGGGAAGCACTTACAGTGACCAACTCACCTCGTGCGTCAGCGTGCGTCAGCGTGCGTCAGCTCACCCTCTGGCGGCGCCCACCAACGCGCCATTGGATGGGAAAAAGCGCCATTGGACCCACAGAAAGAGCCCTAGTTGTGTGATTTAGTGTCTATAAGTTGTAGTGTAAAGGTTTCAACTCCCACCAACGGAAGTCAGGCGTCAACCTGCGTGTGGCGTCAGCCTACGCTGGGGAGATCTATAGCCCTCTCCCTCCCTCCCTCCCTCCCTCCCTCCCTCCCTCCTCCCTCTCTTTCTCTCCTCTCTCTCTCTCTCTCTCGCGAAACCCAACGGAAACTATCCTGCCATCCGGTGAAGCTCTAAGTGTGTGTTTGTATCTTTCGTCGCGGTCCGAAGCGCCAAGCGTCCATGCCCCAAGTCTCGTCCGGGTGCATCGGCATGCTGTTGCGTTCCGCGACAGAGAAGGAGCACTTGCTCATACCTTTTTCGCTGAAACGCTTTTGATCCAAACAACTCTGATCGGTTCACACGAAAAGACCGAAGAAATGAGCAAATCGGTGTCGTTCCAACGAAACATCATGTGACCTTTGACAACGGTCGACAATTGAACTGTTTTAAGCTTGAAACGATGGACCGAAGGAAGCAAGTGCTGGGGAGTCTCCACCTATAAGTGTTTTCCCAAAAAAAAAAGCAAAACCATAAAGGTGCTTTCATCATCTTTCATGAAATTACTGTGTGGTGAGCAACAAATAACAATGTGGCTTCTGAACGCATGACTTATGACTTGCATACTCGCCAGGGTGAACTAGCCTGTGCAAACTTGGGCGTGTGCGGGCCGCAGTGGCGTGCTGGGCTCTAACTGGTTGAAAGGTGCCACACCTGTACAGTGTTGCAGGTTCTTCGCTTGCCCGCGTAACATTGGAAACCTCCGAAACCTCAGCCTAAGACTTTGACACCCTTCCATCATGCTTTTTGCTCCACTCTTGCAGGGGTTGTGGGCATTGTTGTGTCCAGGATTCGAGCATTTGTCGTCACATTCGTGTCAACATGACCAAGAGCACTTTTGCATGCGAAGGCTGCTAGGCTGCTTGTGCGCATTGGATTTTTGGGGTTTTCGGCCTCTGGGGGGCCCACTGGGGACCACTGGTTGGAGAGAACTTGGTGAAAGCTGCAATTGATGGAAACCATGAGGACCTGTCTGGAACGAAACATCGAAACCCGGGGGAACCATCCTCTCGAAGATGGTTGTGTTTTTCTGTGGGAACCATCTCTCCCAATCCGATGGCTCGAGGTGTGGGTTGGGTGTGGCTTGGGAATATTGCACCAAATTATAGGGACAGTATCCATCCATGTGGCGTGTGATGGGCGCTTCAGAATCAAGGCTCCGGCTCATTTTTGGTCTGAACCCATTGAACAGCCCCATCGTCATTACACTTGGGACAACTTGGCACTTGACAAGAAGGATCTGTCCAACTGCCGACCCTGAGAGCTTGTTGTTTTGAACGCTTCATCAATAGCGATGGCCTCCAACCTAAGAGCGTTCTTGCTCCGTTCGTAGCGATGCCCTTTGTTCCTAGTAGCGAACATTGCTCCGTTCGTAGTGCGGCCGGGAGCCCCGAGTACAGTCGCGTCCCGTCCGATCGCTCCTAAGGGCGATGGCCTCCAACCTAATGGCGATGTTGCTTCAGTGCGAAAGGGCAAGGTCCACCGCATCCCCATCCCCTTGGATTGTTCACATCTCGGAATCTGGACACGGACACGTCTGGCATCGGACACAGGGCGCAGAAGGGACACCTCAAATTCGATGGTCTCCTCTCAGCTACAATTGAGCAGCTTCATTCAGGTAAGAAGGATAAGTGGCTTGGTTGGAGGTGGTGCCGGCCTGATTGCCAACCATTACCTTTTTTCAAAACAGACCCTTTTCTTGGCTGAGATTCCCTTTCTCACAGGACAAAACGTGGAATCTGTTGTCTTGAATTCGCATTCAGCGGGATTTTCTAGGCGAAGTCGCATGACAGACTTCGTCCAAAACTTCTCATCCTGCTGTTGCAGAAGCCTGGCGCATCTCTCAAAGCCCAGAATTCTCCAAATCTCCGTGATCTCCCAAAGCCCACACAGCAACAAGAATTGGGCAGTTGGAGGCCATCGCTTCTAGGTTGGAGGCCATCGCTATGAGGTTCCTTTTGCTATTAGGTTGGAGGCCATCGCTTCTACACTCCCGGAAATCATCATGGGCCGTGGATGAGATGGCATGGTCTCGGTTTGACTCGGCTGAGGCACTCTGAAGACCTGTGAAACAGGCTGTGAACTAAACGAAACCGATGATTTCATCGGGTGAAATGGGGACAACGACCATCCTGCAAAAAAGTGGTTCATTTACACTGTTATACCATGGTTGGACCCTGATCTTCAACGACCTGAACCTCGAACACCCAGCATTCCCCACATGTATTGGTTGCACAATGTTGCCTTGGCGCACATCAAGGCAAACTTGGTGACATGGTGCTTTTGTAAAACACATATTGCGGGGCTCGCCCACATCTTTGTTTTTGGTACAAGCTCAATATTGTAGAATTCGGCATGTGAATTGTATGCATCGAAGATCGGCGCCGCCTGGTGGCCAAGGGCAGAAGTGCCTGTGGGCCATCTCTTCGAGTACCTTGTGACCGCCGTTGACCCTTCCAACCACCGTTTTGTGGTGCAAACCAAGCCAAAATAGACGGCAGGCATCGGAAAGGGCACCCAAAACAAAAAAAGGCACATGAACAAAACAGGTTTCAAAAGGATCTTATCTTTCAATGGCTGCCTTATGTGGTTCATGTTGACCCGTCGAACTGGAGCCAATCACCTCTGTCCGGGTCAAGATGATCACCAAGTCAACAAGTCCCTGGTCCTCGATCTTCACCTGTCACAGTCACGTTTCCCCTGCAAATGGTTCACCCATTCAATGGAACTTCAACAGTTGCGCAGCCACGCCCCAGTCCGGGCCAGTGGGGTCACTTGAGTCGAAAACACACTTCCCAGACTGTCCATGAACCATTCCCAGAGCCGCCTGCGCACTTTGACCACACGTGCAGCGAGTAAAAAAGAGGCGCTCGCATCGCACATCCCATGGGTCAGGTCACGGTAGCCAAAGGGGTGGGCGTGGCGCACGTCGATGCCATAGAGCTTCAGGAGCCGTTGAAACTCCGGGACTCGCTCGGGGTTCGAGGTCACCTGATCTCGGGATGTCGGGGTTCGTCGTCTGGAAGTCACACAGTATAAGATCTATATATAATGCAAGGATCGTATACATACATATGTATATATACACATGCAAGTATATAATGTATATAAAGTTATATAATTAATCAATACTTAATAAAATATATCATATTACATCAGAATTCTAAATTTTTATACGCCTGAGTGGTGTAGGGGTGGAGATGCCCCATCTCTTATGGCATGTGGAACCCGCAATGGCAAATTCCGGTCGAGTTTCTGGTGAGTCTGGCAAGACCTAGCAAGACCCCTGGTCATATTCTTCAATTGGTGACCAAGGCACTCCCAAATAATTGAAATTCGAAAGCTGTTCCAATTCTGTGGGTTTTGAGTGTCGAGCCAAATCCTCCAGATTGGTGGTGCCAGGCTCAGCCTTCGTGCAGTCAAGGCACTGAACCAAGGTCGGGAAGATCGGTGATAAACACTCAGAACCACTTCCGGGAGGACGCAAGCGATCGTCAATGTCGCAAAAATGATCCGTGTACAGTGGTTTCAGAGTAGATGGCACAATCCGGCCAGGGGCGAGAGCCCCGTCAGGGCCGTGTCCTGCGTAAGGCACTTCTCCTTCTGCGAAGCAGAAAGCGTAGCCGACCCCAGCCGTGAGACCCAGAAAACTCAGGGTGTTTGACATGTTTTTTTTCCGCTCTTGTTGCTCACGATGGGTCAACATAGCCCAACATAGGCCCAAAAAAATGCTGGAAATGCGTGCCGCACCGGGGTGCTTCGTCTGCATCGTGGGCGGATGCTGGGCTAACATGGGCCCAAGCTAGGAACATGGGCCCAATATGGCCCAAGCTAGACGCAAGCTATGCTCAACATAGCCCCAAGACCGCGCAACAAAGGCTCCAGATGGCCTAAGCTAGACCCAAGCTGTGCGCAACATAGCCCCAAGCCCGCCCAACATCCACTCCCTCAGCCTGCACCCGCACCCAATCTTCCACCCTCCAGCCCCCTACCTCAACGCCCCTGGCCGGCTGTCGGGCGTAAGCCCTTAAATCCCCAAAAGGTGGTTCATATGGACCCCCCATCTAAAAGACGGGTGCCAGTGCCATCTACTTTGAAATCACTATAGTATCTGATAGTTACTTACCTGAGTGTCGCACCTTGCTGGGAGTTTTGATGGAACTCTTCCCAGCTCGCAAGGGTGGTCGCACGGATCCATGGTGGTGTGCCAGGTCCAACATCTGGTCGTTTCTGGGTCACCGGTGGAACACACATGAGGTCACCGGTGGGAGTGTGCCATCACACCCAAGATCAAGCAGAGCGGATTGTGGCCGGGTTGAAAAGTGATGCAGTCTGAAGGAACACTTTCGTATAGAAACGTACGAAGCAACAAAAAGCCAAACATCACTCGAAGAAGCGTCTCCGCCAGGAGACTGTACCGGGCTTTCTACCAAGGGTTTTTACAGCAAACAAGCACTTGGCACATCTCGGCAGCCCTTAAATAACTGTGGATGTTCCTCTGTCTGGTAAGTCAGCTTTACCCGGGATCTACCACATCACAATCTATACCTCATGCAATCCAGGTCGCCACATAAACCACACGCACTCGTTGGACCATGACATCAGTGCATGTCTTGGCGTGGCTTGGTAAGTTGTGCACGGCTTGTTCCAGCATGCTGAGTGTGCTACTGCTATGCTTGATCAGCGAACTGGTCTCACAACCTAGGATAGCAATATTATTAACCTTGAAGACAATAACTTACAGTATTGCTAAACAGCACATACTGTAAGAACCTAGGTTCCTCCAGGTTTTGCTAACCTGGAGGCTAAACAACTTCTGGCCGCCCCTTCGGCCCATTCTTCGCTTCTATCAGCCTTGGCTGTCCTTCGAAAGTAATCCTTTTCCACAGGTGAAACATCACTTCCAGGCTTTTGAACAGGATGTTCTTTTTTGCTCCAAGGTGACTGGAGTCCAGACTGGAGTTGTTTCACAACCGAGATGTCTTAATGTGTTTGATGTGTTGTTTGCGTTTGTTCTTTCCGAGTACCCTCAAAAACACTTCAACATTGAAAACACTGTGTGAGTCATGACATCTGTACTCTGAGTCCATAGGGGAGCAAAGGGTGCATCATCTTGGGGTGTCGTGGACTTGTGCCAATGTTCCTCATGCAGTGAAGAGCCAAAAGCACCCAAACCATGTCGTTGGGAGGAATATCTCGAGGGAAACGATGCTTCTCAGGTGGTGGAGCCTCCTTTTTGAAACTAAGCAATCCGCATTTGTAACTCAAATCAACATAAACACCTCATTGATGGAGAAATTACTTTGGTCCACAAGAAGTTTCATACCCAAAACAAAACGTTCCAACTTGCACAGGTAAATACTTACTTACAAGTTACAAAGGAATAGAAAAGGATGAACTCACCCAGCAAAACCCAAGAAAAGCTTGATTCAACACCACATGTGTTTTTTGGAACAAAAATCATCCCCTCCAGGAACTCGAAACTGCCAGCGACCGCTTGATGATCCCACCTGCAGGAACTGCACCCCTACCAAGCTGGTGACCGCTTTTGACGCACAGCTGTAAACAGTTTTTTGCGTTCGAAAGGGGCAGCCTTTGGCTGGCCCCTGTATGAAAGCACCATGGTCTGACTGGTGCAGGATCCGGCCGGGCCGAACCAGAACGAAAGGGTGCGTTCGGTGGGGAGGTCCGCGAGGTATACCTCTTCAGAGGGGGGTCTATAAACCACCCGAACTGGGTGGTGCTGGATATCACTAGCAACCCCGGATTTTGTTTGGTTCAAAACTTGCTGAAAGCCCGATCATGCGTGAATAAATCGAGTCGAAACCGCAACAAACCATCAGGGACGTCGGATCACTTCGGAGGGGAATCGGCTTGCTTCTTTGCTTCGTTGGGTTGATGCGTCGGTGTCGGTATAAAAACGTCCATGGCTGTGGCCGGTCCAGGATCCTTTTGCCCCAGAAGAAACGGCTTTTTGCCCCCAGTGGATTCACAGGAAATCACGCAATAGACCAACAAATTGTCGTCGAACAGCTGGTGAGCTGGCCCACAGAGCCCCAAGACGATCCAGATTCCCCTTTCTCCACTGGACTTTTCGGGTAGAACTGCGGGGTCAGTCACCACCGCGAACTCCAGAAACCAGCCAAATTCAGACCTCAAACTCGCCAGTCGCAACTTCTCTCCGCATGCTCAGTCTGAAGGCCGGCAATAATAGCCGGCCCGCCAGCCGCACGTTCCGCGCGGCTGCCTTCGCGCCTTCCGCCTTCCCCTCAAACCTCTCTGGAGTCGCTGGAGTCTCCGTCTTCGGGCTGGGTGGACTCCAGATCATCCTGATCACAAAAGGTCACACCCGGCAGTTCGCAGTCCTGATCGCGCCCGCGCGGCGCGCGTGGCGCGTGGCGCGCGTGGACTCGCATGCAGGAGGGGTACGAGAGGCCCACCAGCGACGACGGCCGACAGGTCCAGGACGGTCCAGGTGCGGCACCTCTGGAGTTTCTGAGGTTCTATAAGAGTCGCTGGGCGGAACTTCTACCAGGGCCCCCTGTTTGGGGTGTCTAAGGGGCGCCCCTTAAGGGTTAAGGGATGTCCATTTAGCCACCCCTTCGGCGCCTGACACACTGAAGAGAACATCACCCGGCAATGCATCAACTGCAGCACAGATCAATGAATGGAACCCATTGATTCAGGGACATACACCACATACATTCATGGGAATCATCGAGTCATCAGAGACATTCACCTCCCTTTCACAAGCACAGATAGGTCACCTGGATATGATTGTTGGCACATGGGAAGCCTCCAGGAGCGTCAGGGTCACCAAACTGGGCGGAAGACAAAAACACCTCGGGGGAACATCTTAAATACAGTAACCCTCCCAACCATCGATTCTCGGTCTCCCTTAGCTCTCTGACCTTCGTGGGGGCGACCTTGGGCGTCCGGAAGTCGCTCCAGCCGTCCCGTCTTCGTCTTCGTCTTCGTCGTCGTCAGCACGGCGGGTTCGCGCGCTGCGACCCGTCATGCTCGGTCCTTCAGGTTGGGAGCTCCGACGAGGCGGAGCACGTTAGCGGCCACGATGGGAGGCACCAAACGGGAACCTCGGGAGGCGGCGTGGCAGGCGGCGGACGCCGCTACCGCGGCACCGTGCGGCGGTAGACCGGCGACGCGAAAGGGAGGCGGCGGAGGCCGTGTTTTTGTTCACGATGTGTTTAGGTGAAAAAAAATGACTCCCAATGCCAAGGCAGAACACGATTATACTATATCATAACATATCATAACTGACTAGCAAATACAAGTCTGAAATCCAAACATATCAAACGATATCAAACCGTTATACTTCAAGTGTCAAAATAATAGCAGCATATTCCAGGATCCGTCAGCGACATGAAGGTCCTGGTTGTCATTATCTTCAAAAAAAAATAAGTCCCAGTAGACCGACCAAAGCTTCCCTCAAGGTGTTTCTGGCAATAGTTCAACTCCCATATTCAAATTGAATATCATAAAATATAACAGAACATAAATCAACCATGCATATTGCCAAATTTCCTGGGGTAACAACTTTCAATGCTGCAGATGTCTTTACATTAAAGTACTGTCTTATTGAAAGTGGCCGTTCGTTTGTGATATCGTTCGTGGAAAAAACCACCGGCGTCCCAGCTTCGCTGCTCCCACGTCCTGGGGCGATGGATGCCCCTATTTCACTTTCCACGGTTGTAGAATCAAAACACGGCGTCGACAGGGAATCTTCACCATCGAAAACACGACGTGACATTGAGTGAGATGGACTCTTGTCGTAACCTCGAATCTTCAAAAATTGCGGGTTGACATGGATTGACCTTATTGTTATACTACGTGTCATTGTTTCTCATACTGGGTAATGCTGGGTAAATGATTGTCAATTAAACAAGGAAAACACACACACACACTCCATAGATGGAGTGCTGGATGGAGTGCTGGGTGTGAAGGCTTCACATACCCGGGGGTCCCAGTCAAATTGTTAACGATATTGGAACCAGCCAATCTTCGGACCAGCCTCTCCCTTCTTTTAGGGCCAAAACCATCCAAAACCAAGCTATTCGGACCCAAGTGGCTGAGGCAGCAGGCCAAGCGGTTGCACCACACATCTAAACGTTCCGTGGTCCCCGCCGGCCGCAAGCGACGCGCGAAGGGAATCTGGCAGAAGTAGGTCTTGTAGCTGCTGCCTCTTCAGGCAAAATCTGGATCTCGACTGCTGCCTCTTCAGGCAACTTCTCAAAGGGCACACTTCCTCAAATAATCATCAGAAGTGAGAAACCATTGTATGATATGATTGGTGCAGAATGAAACTTTTCAGGAACATTGAGAAGGAATATAAAGAATACATTAATCAGCGGCCAGATTATGTTTGGTGTTCGGAAAATGGTCATCTTTTTAAGGCCATGCCATCCACATAAGAGTTCCAGGGAGTGTACCTTCGGCACGACTGTCATGCCCTCATGAACTCATAATGGAAGGAACCAGCAGGAGATGATGCGAGGCGAGGATTCTTTAGACCCAGCGAGGGTCCAGGACCATCCTGAGGATGTTCTTTTGGCCTCCAAGACCAAATTCTCTGGAAGTACGTACTCACCTCCAAGACCATCCTCAGAAGATACCTGGACCACTACCTGGACCTTATGGGAGAAGACTACACCGAATTTCGACGCTCCCGGCGTGAGCACATCTAAGACTATATATAGTGTTGCTAAGTTGATTCGACTCAGGCATCTGGCCCAAGTAGCCACACCCAGTTTAAGATCCGTTAAAAGTCCAAGAACTTGCGGAATCGAACCTCATGGACGTCGTGAGAAAGGGCGGAGGATGATTTGTGGTTTCCTCCTTGTCCAAGCACCCCAAAAACTGGCATGACCACGTCCCATGGATTTGCATGGTCCCTTGCCCAGGTTTTTGGTTCAGTCTGGTACCTGCATTCGGAGCCGACTGCCATTTTGTCCAACCTTCGCAGCATTTTGGCCGCACATCTGTCGACTTGGGTCGTTGGTCCCGACGGACGAAGAGCGCCGTGTCCCTGGACGAGCGTCTCTGACGGGAGATGGGATCCTCCGGTCCTCCGGTGAAGTCCAAGCGGTTTGACACGGACCTGGACCTGACCCGAAGGACCTGGACCTGACCCCCTTCGGGTGAGGGATCGTGAGGTCAAGATGTCACGAGAAATCGATTCAGCGCCTGGATCGACCCAGGTCGACCGCATTCCGAAAACTGAGGTCGACTGATGGCGCCCATGAATCCCATGGCTCCCAGCCTAGATAGTGCTTGACTAAGTCATGCAGCCCTGCCTCAGGCGAATCAGGTCCAGATCACGAGGATGTTCAGGCTGCCAAACCCGAGGCAACAAGGAGTTCTAAGCAAAAGATGTTTATAGGTTGGAGGCCAGCGCTAGTGGGTTGGCGGCCATCGCTTTAAGGAATTCTAAGCAAAAAAATGTTCGATCACAGCCATGGAGCGAAGGGGTAAACGGTCGACCTGAAGCTTTAAACAGAGCTCGTCTTCGGTTGAGTCTGGTGTCATGTGTCAAGCACACGGATTAGCCTGTGACCAATGACGATTCGACATGGAAACCGAATTGAAAGGGAATTGTTTCGGGACAATATGTGATCAAACGTACGAACAATGTACGAACAATGTAGGAACATTGACCTGTTTCCGGTCACTATAGCATAGATACCAACCACCCACCTTCCATCCGCCCTTCCCGAGTCGCTGTGCTGTGCACTTAAGCTCGGATCGCCCCGACCGACTCGGCCAAGGCACGCGCAGATGGACCAGGCGCCGGGAAGCCTTCCATTCCAGCCACGGACGCCGCTTGGCTTCGGTGGAACGGCCGTGGCACAGGAAGCATTCCAGGACGTAGTGCAAGTGTCGCCCGCACCTGATGGGTGGGTGGGTAGACCCAGCGGAAGAAAAAAAACACGACGACGCCGTTCGCCACACAGGAAAAAGACCACACCAACAAAAAGAAGGATCGAGGTCGGGTGTTGCTGCTGGGGGGGGTTGGACTCTGTTTTTCCGGCAGAAAGTGGCTGGTTGGACCACACGACTTGTTTTCAAGAGGTCCAACATGGTTTTCAATGCCCACTCTACCGTAAGATCACCAGAAAAAGACTGACTCTGGCGGAGAAACCGTGGCCCTCCTCATGGTCTGACCCTCGTGTTTGCCTGGACGATTTCCATCGATTTCCACTATGGAGTTCCGGGGGGTCCTCTGATGATCTGAGAACCACGTGTATTATCCCTAGGGCTCCAACTACCTCCTGAGAAGGTGGTTAGGGTGGGTGCCAGAGGGTTCAGTCCCCACCTTCTGAACATATGGGCCAGGAGCCCTAGGGTATATACCAGGACATCCTGTCGGGGTGCCCTGTCCTGTCTGGAGACCTATAGGTCGGTACGACAACGGGGTAGTCCATGCAGCCAGGACACCCCTACAGGACGGTCCTGGACCCGACTCTACAGGTCACCAATTGAAACCTGTTAGGGTCCAACAACCCTCAACTAACAGCTTGTTGGAGGGTGCTGGAATATATATACATACACCTGTATAACCCGGTCGCCTTCAAGGACAATTCACAGAATGGTTGACCTGGTGGACTTAGTCTCTAAAATCCGTAGAAACAAATAGTTGTTTGATGTTCTTTGGTAAAAACCCATGAATTGAATCAAGGTTACTGGAATCCTAGGGCATATATTACAATTGATATCCATAGCACCTTTGGCTATCCCAGTACCCTCCTTCCCTCGTCGCTCATCCGGACATGGCACATCGCGTGACCTGTCACACGGATGCTGAGCTCTGGGTTCTCGGCTCCTTTCTGCCAATCCATTGGCGTGCTCGCCTGGGGTCTGCGGTTCTTTCAGATAGACCGGCAAATGATTAAAACAAGACCAAAAACATCCAAAAACATAAAATACATCTTAATGATCAGATCAAAAGGATGTTCCGGGTGCTGGCCTGAAGACTAGATGTAACATGACCCATATGGTCAGCAGTTCTGGACCCCTTGCAGCACTCCAAAGAAGTACAAAATCCAGTCACTTGTGGATGATTTGATCTTGCTCTACATGCTCCCAAAAAAATGGTTTTGGGTTATGGGCCAAGTTATGGGTTACGGTTTCCTTGTGGGGACACAAGGACAAAACCCCTCGTATGAGATTTGTAGGGTCCCCAAAAGCCTGGGATAGCATGTGCCCACAGCCGTTACGATCATGATTATTTTCATGTGGCAGCTCAGCCTATATTTATGGCATGACCATGGCATGGGTCTCATTTTCATACCTATCATTTTCATACCTGTTCACTGCTTCTCCTTACATCTATTTAATGACTTTCCTTTCACCAAAAGCAGAACAAGTGCTTTCGGGAGATGATTTGATCACAGAAACTCCAAAAAACAAATGGTCCCATCTTCCATGCTGGGACCCACCCCCCCCCTTTGTCCGCCGGACCAAGCGCCTGAAAACCGAAAGGCTCCAGAAAGAGCACCACCTGAGCGACCGGCAAAACTAGGGGTCGTTTGGTATGAGTACGGCGTCAAGCCACCAGAAATCCAAGGTAGTTTTCAGAAGTCATCGGTGAGAGCCATTGACTGTGAGAAAACCAGAGTCTGGTGAATCTCTCAATCCTCTTCTCGCCATCGTTCTGGTCGCCATGATCTCGGCGAAAGCTCGGACCAAAAATTGCATTTTGCGCCCTGAAAGCGGTGCCCAATTCAAAGGGTTTGGATGGGTTTGGGCCCAGAACCTGCCCATACTGGTGGTTGTAACCCCCACCAAACCATCCATAGCTGAGGGTTTTGCAGATAGCCCCCATACACCCACAGCCCCTAACGCCGGCCCCCCCTCCCAACAAAACCTGACGCGGTTCCAACCGCCGAGTTGACCGTCTTGCTGACTGAGCTGTGTGGATGTCCTCATGGGTCTGTCCGAACTGACCTATAATCGGTCAACCCAAAAAGTGACGAGTCTTCAACAAGGCCTGCAACTGAAGCTGGGCACTTGTTCAGTATTGGGATAGACCGGGCCCGGCAGCTAGCTTACGAGTACCTCGACCTAACGTCCGGCCGTTGACGGACAACGAGGTGCCTCTCGGCCCTCCAATGGGCGTGGTAAGCCCGACAGCTCGTCCACCAAGAAGTCCGCCATGGCGAAAACGGACGGACGGATTTGATGTTTGACACCCCAACTTCAGAGACAGTTTCACTAAGAATGTCTTGGAAAATACTAGACATGTGTTTGACTTCCGAGGGTCCCCGGGAATATGCGAACCACAGCACTGTCACTGTGCTTCACGTCCTGGGCACATCTTGCTTCACGTCCGGTGTCACAGGGTGTTCCCACCAGAGGTCTCCACCTATGCTGAATCCTCAAACGATGAGATTCTCCAGAAACCCAAGGCATAGGACTCAGGACTTCCATACGGACCTCCGAAATCCACTCGTTCAGATCCGTAAGTGAACATAATGTCGTCCTTCAACAGAAACAGCGGCGTGAACCAAAGATCCAGGTTTGAGCACTGGCAACTTGACTGCTTCAAAACCCTTTGACTGAGCAGCTTGCCACCCAAAAATTGGGCCTACGCCTCAAGGCAAGGCATGCATTTTTTTGGCTGCTAAATCATGGATGTTTCTCTTCCCCAGCCACTTGCTCAACTGGCCACTGTGCCAGTTCTTCCTGGTCTCTAGCTCGCCGCAATCCGATGTGACATGTCCGGCTTGCACCGTCCCAGCGGCGCGGATTCAAAGGCCCCATGTCTCTTGGTTGGAGAGATCGAATCCCATTTGATCGTTGTCACGGTGGTCTCGTTCACTAACAACTTGGGTAACTACTTCGACTACTTCGTGACCGTAGTTCAAAACATCAAACTATTTTTCTGAGGGTGGCGTTAGCAAAAAAATTGCCCCAAAGCACACGTGATCACACATGGCTCCGTGCCTCAATCTGCTTTGAGCATGTCTCATCAGAACAGTTTTTCACCATATATGGTACATCTCTCGTATGAAAAGACTCTCTTTTGATGGTCCCTGACCTGGTGCGGCTCCAAATTCTTCCACAAAACATGTACAGCCCCGACAACGACGACGAGTGGTTCCAGACCACATGGACAGGACGGCTGTCGGTCCGCACGGCCTGAACTTAATGGAATGACCCCTGCATTCCATGATGTTCAAGTCCATATCCTGGTGATCTGTACTCTTTGGAGGGATTAGCTCTTTTGGTGCTGCACCATTTCTTCCATCAACCGGCTTGGCCATCGCCTCCGTCCGTGTGTTCCCCATTCGGATCCTTCACCTATAAGGTCGATCGCAGGGCGAGCAAGCACGGTCAAACGGCGCGGCGCAGGCTTTTGGGGCTCAGACCACTCGTGGTCTTTGACGTGAAACCAAGGAGGTCAAAGGACGAGCGACCGGCAGGGGTGCATGGAGCACTTGGGATTGTTCTGAGACCTGCAAGGTCTGGAAACACGGTGAAGGTGAGAGGGACCAAAAAGTGATGACTGGGTGCAATTTAAGAACGGCCTGCATTGAGAACCTTAGGGGTTATCCTTTCTTCCCATGTACTAACGGCAACCCTCTGGCGTTGGAAACCCTTTAAATTAGATGTTCGGGTCCCCTTGTTCGCCCCAAGCGTGTGCTACGACCACTTCGAAGTCCACTGGGACCAGCAACTCAAGGAATTCGTACTATCCCTAGGGCTCCAACCATATCCTCAGAAGGTGGGACTGACCCCCCTGGCACCGACCCCAACCACCTTCCCAGGAGGTAGTTAGAGCCCTAGGGTATGGTCTACATTTGAGTCTACATAGCAGTGCTAGGTGGGATATCCCGAGCGTTTCCAGTTGGGGTGCAGGTCCATGCCAACCTTGACCTCCTCCAGTTGTGGTGGTGAAACGCTCAGATGCGCAGCTTGCCTGAGAGCACCAGATCATGGCAAGTGTCAAGGACAAGATTGGTTGGGATACATGTAAACTCATGTAAACCACTGTCTGTAATCGGGGAAGATGGTTTTTAAGTGAAGAATTCACATGAGCAGACCACCTCGTAAACAACTGTTCTTCATTGGAGGCCATCGCTACTAGGCCAGACTCCAGCCCGCTCCAGGCGGGCGGTTCGTGGTTCCGAGCCTAAGCAGCGCATCTAAAGTGTGTCCAATACTTCTTGGAAGGTGCGAGATGTTGAAATTTACATCCTACATCCGGCCATCAGATCTGTTTCATGTTTGGAAATTGCAAAACAACTGAGAAGAATCACGACTGCAAGAACACAGACATGTTCTGGACTCTCATGAATCCTCCGTCCGTGACCTTTTTCTGGGTCGGATTTCAGCCGTGAAGATCCTCTTAGTCCAATCTACCTCTCAGGGACCCTTCAGAACAACCCCATGGGACTGCCATAGGACTGTCCCCCCATTCACCCCCGTGACACCATCCCTGGCCGTTTCTCGGTCGTCCTATATATATTCCCATGGGCGGTCGTGTTTGGGAGTGAGACCGACGTCTTGGGCTCAAACCTGCAACGGTTTCCGCCAACTGGTGAAGGGCTCGACCGAGACACTGGAGCCGACGAGCCGAGCGGCGGAGCGGTGAAAGGACAGAAAGAACGGAGCGGTAGGAGCCGAGATGGGCGGTGAAAAAGGCACAGGTTTTGAGCACCTTCAAAAGGGGTGCCTGATATGGAGTAGGGTAGGGTATTCCAGACAAGAGAACCCGAGTTCGGGAGGTCCTGGTCTGGTACACCAAACTTGTAGGATGGAAAGGCTAAGGTCTACCCAAAATCAACAATGTCAACCTGGAGCACCTGCCCAAATCAGATCTTGTTTACATCTTAATTGACAAAATCCGCCGACCCCACACCGTGGGGTGAGGCGTGACTGTCGATGTTAGCCTTAGCCTTAAGCCTTAGCCTTAGCCTTAGTCCTTAGCCTTAGACCTAGTCCTTAGCCTTGACCTAGACCTTACCTCCCCTACCCCTCCGGACCCTTGTTGCAGTGACGAAATCCGGCCCGGAATTCTCCAGGAAATTTCGCTGATTGCGACGTGGATTGTCCAAGATTCTGCCATCCCAATTAATTTACATCTTGGGGCACCCTCTCGACCCGCGCGGGAAAATAAGCACGGTCCAAAATGGTCCTGGGCTCGAATCCCGGGCTGGTCGCGGCATGGTCCCGGCCAATGCCCTTGCTTTTTCGTAGATTTTGTCACGTTTTCTGTTGGCTTATGAGATCTTCAAAGGCTTTTCTGGCATTTTCCTAGGAATGCTCTAGGCTTTGTCTTTTTGGGTACTAAATTCTTGGGCAATGATATCCTTTATGGGGACGAGGGTTCAGCATTACGGGGTTCATGCAAGAGATGACGTCCGATGGTAAACCTGGGAGGTACCCAAAAAGTCGACTTTTTGGGTACCTGCTTTGGTGGTGAAGGGTTGGGTCTAAATTCTTGGGCAATGATCGGGGTTCATGCAAGAGCTGACGTCCGATGGTAAATCTGGGAGGTACCCAAAAAGTCGACTTTTTGGGTACCTGCTTTGGTGGTGCTGGGTTGGGTCTGCACTCTTAAGGCTAAGGCTAAGGCTTAAGGCTAAGGCTAACATAGAGCAAGGCTAGCGCTAAGGTTCTATCCCTTGGGGGTCGGCGGCTGCAGGCGGTAGCCTGGTAAATATTATATACAATAGTATTTCCATGCGCATTTTGCGCCTGAGATTTCCGCATGGAGTGCTCCACTTGCTCCATCCTCGTGTCCCAATGCCACAGCCAGGCCCCATTAGGGCCCCCCACGCGCTTCTGGAGCTTGGGGTGCGCAAACCCTTAGGACGACACGCAGGTTTGCGGTGCAGGCAGGCCAAACAGGTACTGTAGGCCAAATCACAGGCAGTCCTGCAGGCATCTTTGGATTGATCTCTGAAAAATGATGCAGTCCCACCAGGAGTCACTGACTTCCAGTTCAGCTCTTGTACTACATATCTTCCATTCACACCGCTTCGATTTGTCCTTCCCCCAACAACCATCCGATTTTTGAGCGGTTGCCAATCCCACAAACCTACACAAACCATGCATAGAAAAAAAAAAGAAACACACACACAGTCCAGATCCTTCTAGGACCACAAGTTGAAACAACTATTAAGATGTGGTATATCCACAATATGCAAACACTTGATATGTACCAACTCCTAATGTTATATATATAGAGTATTATAGAGTATGTGTATATACTGCATAATATATATAGTATGTAAATATACCACCTGACATGAAAAACCTCTTGACTCATTCTCCGCTAATCTTGACTCATTGCAGCTCCAGTGACATGTTGATGTGATTTGCCGGATTGAAGATCCGATCCTTCTCATCGACCACGGCGCCACGGCGGCGAAGGACCGGCGAAGGAGAAGGACGACCACCATCGATCGACAGCGAATCGGACGAAGAATCGGGAAGGTCATGCCGAGACTTGTAGCGTTCGAGCCGCAGGTGTTGCAACTAGAATTGGGGAGACCGTGAGACCCCTCAAAAAGCAGACTACATCCATTGTTTGGGCTCCCCAATTAAAGATACACCATCAAACCCAGCCAACAGTCCCCAGGAACCGACACCTCCGATTCCGAGATCTAAGGCAGTGAGAAGTGATCATTGAAACAACACAATATTAGGGACAAAATGGTGAAAAAACAACGCCAAGTGCCTCAGCCATGCAGCAAACCTTTGTGTTCTGTGACTACTGTCTACTGTGTAAAGAACGTTCGAGGTAATCCATTCTGGAATCCTTTTTGGTTCGATGATTGGATGTGCTTAATTGTCCTTGCTTGCGTTTGCCTATTGCTGCAAAGTAGTGTTCCGTTAGGATTTCTTTTGCTTGCCTGTTTGGGATATCATGTCTTGCCTTATATTTATAATAGCAGGTTGCAATTCAAGGAAAATAGCACAAAACCATAATATGCACTTTTGGTTTAGTCCACTGGAGGCAATTGTGCACAAGCAGGTTCGCAACATGTGTTCCACATCTTTGATCTTGATGACTCTTGTTGATTTATGTAAGGCTAAATTTGGTTTATATAATAACCGTTTGGTCAACCCCGGAGTCAACCCCATATGTGCTGGTGTGTGATCCCACAAGGTATATCAATCTCTCTGGGTATATCAACTACATTCAACTACAGTGACAGTATTGCTACATTCAGCACCACCTCCTTAAATGTAGAACATGGTTGCTGACATAGACCTGCACATTCTGTGAAACAGCAAGAAATGTCTGGCCATGTCCCCGACTGATTGAGACTAGATGCCCAGAAAATATTGTGGACAAATGGTACACCAGAAAAGTTCACCACCCTTTCCTGGTCTAAAGCCTAACCCGGGACGTCCCGGATGTGGGTCGACGGCCACACGAACGAAGCAAGAGCGCGTCTTGAAACCACGCAACAAGTCCGGTCTCCTCGATGAGATCGGCTGCCACCCTAAGGTGATGAGATGGTACAAAGCTCATGTGTGGAAAGAACTGGGGGAGAACTGGGCATGTTCCGAAGAAATCCGAAGAAGAAAGCCTTCAAAGCACCCACAAGTGGTTGGTATACAGGGGCATCCTTCACTGCCGGCCTCGGACATCGTTTTCTTTGAAAGGAGAAAGCCTTCTCCAGGAACAGTCACGAGGTCTCATGACGTCTTGCTTTGTCAGGATTACTTCCCAAGTGACGCGACAGCTTGCCTAGATCCTCACCTCCAATCCTTAAGGATCTGGTTCAAAGTATCTCTCTCTCTCTCTCTGCATGAAAGAAACATCTGGCCTTATAGTATAGCTTCAGAACGATTGTTCAGAACAAGGCGTGGACAACAGTGTATGCCCTATAGCTACATTGTTTGGATATGTGTGGATTCTTTCCATGAGCCTTGCAAACTTCCAAACCTCCATGATGACTGGGTCCAAAGAAAGCCTCGCGAAGATAACATCTTCCCAAGGGAGAAGACTCTGAGGATCTGCTTTGCTCAGGGGTTTCTTCGCAGCATGGGCTTTCCCCAGAGGTTTCTTCGCAGCATGGGCTTTCCCCTCCAATTTCTAAAGTCACGGAAGTGGAAAAACCAGGAAAAAGGTCCTCCCTGGGGGGGCGGCCAGCCCGCCCTCCACGCATTTACAGGTTTCAACGCAGGGAGCGAGGTGCTCTGGATCGACGCTCCCAAAAACAATCGCCGCATGAAACCGGTTGTTTTTTGCGCATGATTCACTAGTGGAGAGTTCCACGAACAACCGCCGATCTCCAACAGGATCGGAGTTGAGAGGTTTTTCGGAGTTCGGGCCCACAAGAGGGCCCCAAAAAGGAGTCGATCCTAGCGTATCATGAGACACGAGAAATGGGACTGGCACCAGTGTTGACATCGGATGGTCGGTGGCATCGATGGGGTCACTTGTGATGGTCGGTGGCATCAATGGGGTCACTTGTGATGGATTCTTCCTTGCGCCAAGTCACAGGTTAGCGTCTCTAGTCGTCGCACCGTACACGGTGTCGCCCTCCACGCGAGGAACGTGGCCTGCGTTGAGCAAGTGTGCGTGCAGTGCGAAGAGGAGAGTGGACAAAAGCTCACGGAGTCAGAACCAGGAGTGAAACTTCCTGGAATTCCTGGATGAACGCTGACTGCTAGGAACAAGGACGCTAGGTAGGTAACTCAGGGCTACGAGGCTGGAGGGGTCGCACGCTACTAGAATCGGGGCGAAGCTGGCCTTACGAACGGAACAAGAAGGCTACGAACGGAGCTACTGGATCCAAGAGTTGGGCCATCCAGGATAATCCAGGATGAATCTCACGGTTTCAGATCTGGTCGTCGATAGCGGGGATTCGGACTCCAGAAACGGGTCGTCGACCATCACGGCTGGGGTGATTCACGGCTTAAACATGGTACCTTAGTCAGTGCTGGGGTTGTTTGTGCTGGAGGTGTCACATGTGAGTGGGGCAGCGCATGCTTTCATTAGGACTGCTCTAGGCTTGGCCTCGAGAAGGATTGCTCTGGTGTTCCATTCTTCGTAGGCTTGAGAAGGATGAATCGACTTCGAGAACTGTTTGGATGTGATAAGTAACAATCCGTTGATGGAAAAGCCGGAAAAGCAAGCATCTGTCTTTACAAACATGATCAAACATGTGTTTTCCCCGTGCCATGCCACTCCAACCGCCGATCTGCCCGAGGTTAGGAGGTCGCGTCCGGTGCATCGAGACCGTTTTCGTTCCAAGGGACGTGCGTTGGTGTCGTTGGTGTTCGAAGAGGTGCGGAACGGTGCTGAGTTGGGTGCGACGTCGTGGTGGGTGCGGATGGACCGCATGGGCCAGAAGCTTCGAAGCATTGGGCCAGGATGTGAAGCTTCCCGCGAGGGGCAACATGGGGCAATTCCAGAGATAGGCCGGCATAAGACAGCTCTGAGCGGGTCGATGGACTCATTCTTGGATATGTTCGATATTCCCATATAGTTGTCCTCTCCACCCATGTTGGATCATCAAGAATCCTGGAACCCTATCTATCATCTTCTATCATGATTCTCTTGCCTTCTTCTGAAGGCGGAAAACCTGTCCGAGGGTCGGTGGCTATGATGTTCTTCTTTTGAGAAACCATCGGGAGAAAAGAACACAGGGCAGGTTGATGTGCTTGACGTCCTAGGTGAAGCCATCAAATGCTGATGTTGCATGCTGACAAAGAAAATCATCCGTGGACTTTCAATTCAATAGACTAACTAACCAACGGGATCCACACATATCACACCAACACTTTGCGGATTGTTCCAAAAGGATCCAAAAGGCACCATCTATCAGCCTCTATCAGCCAGAAAAAAAAAACGCAACTGTGGCATCCGTGCCGGTGTAGCCGGGGATCTGCTTGCCTTGGCTCTGCCGCCAGTGCAGGAAAAGCTCCAAAACCACGGTGAATTGGCTTGGTCAGCCTACGTAGATGGTGTGTGCGGCACTGCTAAATACGACACTGGATCCCCGAAGACACCAGAAGAAACCAACCAAAAAAACACCAGAAAACCATACATGTTTGCGTGCTAAAATAGGTCTTCCGCGCGGTTCTTACACGACCACCAGCTGATGAGTTCGCGTCCGGGTGTAGCCTCTTTCTTTCGTCGAACAGCACCGCTGCAGGTCGTAACAGGCGGCACGACGTGGGGAAATCTATGATGGTATCGCTCGAAACCTCACATGTACCCCTGCAAAATGAAGCAACATTCACAAAAAAAGACTCGACCTTCAAAGACTCGACCTTCACATGTCTTCACCCAGAACGCCATGCCTCCCGGTTCACGGTCCAAACCTCTTCGGATCAACACGCACCTTCCCCCCCCTCAGCACTGTCATCCCGCACCGAGATTTCATGACTCCGGTGGAGTCAGCTTCCGCTTGCTGTCCACCCCGAGTCAACACACGGGCATCGCTACGAACGGAGCCACTTCAGCTGAACCGAGCCGAGCAGAGATGAAAACGACAGCGTCACGAGTCGTTCGAGCCGAGCAGCTACAATGCTCACGCAGTTTGGCTGCATGAGCCTCCTGGTATTCCGGCCTCACGAGTGGACCGATGCGAACGATGCCGACTGTGTTCTCGGAGGGTTTGCCTGGTGAAGCTAAGCCAATGAAGTCTCTACCAAGTACAATTGCAGCTAAGGGGGATCCTCCCATGTCCTTTGTGGTTTATGGCAATGGTGCTGGCAATGGCAATGGTTTATGATCCATAGCCAGTCCAAGATAGGATCCAACTGTCAGCTAAAGAACCAGTCCACCCTGAGCCCTACCAAGAATCTGTCCGGGTCCCTGTGTCTCACCTACAGCTCTGAGTCTAGCAACAAATCCAGACACGAGTGTCATGGGACTGGCAAATATGTACCTACGCATTCACCCCTGAAATCCACCAGCCCCAATGTATCATATTCATAATCCAAGTTTCATGGGAGTGTCTGGACAATCCGATCTTCGTTGTCTCAGAGCACCTTGGCTCTTCCTCCCTTTTTCGACGATGCTCTTGGATGCACGGAAGCCGGCAGCCGCTGCCATGTTCCGTTTCTTAAAGGATGGGCGTAAGTATGGTCGAGTTGCAGGAACATGGAAGCAGCAATGAGTTTGGTCACTAATCTCCACCTCATCAAACTGAAGAAAAAAGAACCTGCAGTCAGGTACCCCTTCAGTCATCGACTGATCGAAACCTGCAGTCGACTGTTCGACGTGGACCTGCCATCCTTGCATCCCCTTGGTGTCCTTCCGGTGTCCTTCGTGCGACACGACCTGGCCTATCTTCCCGATTCTCGGTGTGGAAGTGATCTAGCAAACGACCTGCGCGAAGCACGAAGCGCGAGTCACACGGCCCGGCTCGAGAAGGAAAACACCACGGCCCTTGGCGCTGGAAGAGACCTCTGCAAAGTACGTTCCAGGCCCTCCAAACCTAAACAATTGCCTGTGCTGGACAGCGACCAAAAGCAAAACAAGGTCCGTACTAGCTCATGCGCGGCTTGAATCGCTCTTCCGGCCCTGGTGGTGATGGAGGAATCACCTCCTTTTTCCAAGCTGCTGCTCTTAGACAGGTGCGGTTCAATCCAGCGATGGCAGGTGAACACATTGGAAGAACGAAATACCTATGAAAACCCGGTTTGATTGCAATCCCAGCTGAGTTTCAGAACCAAAAAACGAAGCCTCGTGGGAGGTCATCCTGCTGTGTCACTGCCTGGCCGAAAAGAAAAATCAGGCAAATGTGACGGAAGACTTCCCGCTTGCCCCTGAGATGGAAGGAGCTTCAAAGTCTACACTGGTTGGAATAATATGCAATACACCCGGGAAGACTAACATGGACCCTGAAAACCACTATTGTGGTAGAAGACAACCATCTTCCCAGGGGCCAGACAGTCAGAGTCCATATGAGTTTTCGGGAGAGAAGTATGGAATCAATGGTTTTGTGGAGTTCGTTCTCTTCCGCTTTGTAGAGGAAGAACATCGTGATCCTTCCAGGGCCATGGCGATGCTCATTTCTCTCACCGTGTGATGATTTCCGGGAGTGTAGAAGCGATGGCCTCCAACCTAATAGCAAAAGGAACCAGCAATGGCCTCCAACCGAATGGCGATGGCCTCCAACCTACTCGCGATGGCCTCCCCCAAAGAGAGATGGCTTTTGATTGGTTAGCTTATCTTATGCCACTCTTGTTTTGGTGTCGCCTCCTCACCCATCAGCTCTGATCATGAAATCGAGCTTGGTGTTGTATAGGCTTGTTTTGGGATGTGTTTAGTCCTCTCGATGGAGTGAGTTCAATGCTACATTGCTACATTGTCACACGCACATGGGAGATCTAGTGCCAAGTGCTATGTTCGGAAAACCCCTCAAATCATAATGAATAACCCCCCATATTGGGAGGTCTATAATCCAAATCGGAGGGTTTCTCTCTCTTTTTTTATCAACAGTCGACACTAGCAAAACGATGATGCAAACTGTGAACTATGATGCAAAACCATTATTCCTCATGGAAGCTTGTTTTAATTCAGGACTCTTGGAAACTACATGGAACTAATATCTAGAGATGATCTAGTTACATCTCTTGAAACCTGACATCGACATCTGACCCCACCTGGACCTAAACGAAATCGCCACCAACCCGCTTCGCGGTCCGCTTCGGCGTTCGGGCGGCACCGGCAGCGTCTCCAGCGGCGGGGCACGTTCCGCGATCGCTCGTCCGGCCTGGAGAGGCGGTGAGACCGAGATCGGGTCCGGGCACCGGGAACCCGCCCGGTTCGGGCGAAAAGCGGCCCAGCAGGAACGACATCGTCCAAGACGGAGATGGGACATGCCGAGCATGAGGAGTTTTGCGGTGTGGGTCAAGACCAAACAAAAGCGGTACTTGATGGTACTTGGTAGAAGATTCTCTTCTTTTTGGGAGTCTTCCCCGATATCTTGGGTGCAATGGACTCGCCATGCCATTCCTCTATCCCTGCCACGCCTCTTCCCGTCGAGAGAGCCAGTCACAACAGCACAAACGGTACTTGGAACGGCACAACGGATACTGCAAACGTCAGAATTAACCTTGTTTTGGCTTTTGTCGCAACTGGGATTGCAAGCAAAGAAAAACATCTGGACGGACTCGGACAGACGTCTGTAGTTGAAGCTTCGAGGAGGCTTGTAGGTCCCGACCTGCATCTCCTGCATTCCGTGCAAGTGTTTTCAATGGCCCCTTGCAAGACTGGAAACAGGACAAACAGGGGTCTTCCACTTGCAGCGTTCGTTCGCATTTGTTGGACGGGTCGGGGAAACACATTAAAACACCCATAGTTGGGCATGCTTGCAATACGTTTGGCTGGCTTCACTTGACCACCCAGTCTGGCACACCCCTAGATATCAAAGGAATCCGAAACACCTGCCTGCCTTGTTTCGTCAACTCCAAACCCCGCTGGGTTCCACGACCATCTTGCAGGTGTGGATAATGCCACCCCCATGGATGTTCTCCGCATGCTTGCCGGGCCTGAGATGCGATTCACCGGCTCCGTGCTGAAAAAAAAGTAAACACGCGGGACGCGGATCCAAGTGCTGCCAAGAGAAGTTTCAGGTTCAAGAGCCGCTACCCTATGCTAGGCCCCCCCGGCTTTGGGCCCTACTCTAAGTTTTGAACTTTGCACTGTACCTGCCAAATTCAATTCATCTATTCACCGAGTGAGAGGCCGAGCTCACCCTTGATCGCCTGACCCCTCAACTGACCTGGAAGTGAGGCAACTGGTAGGTTCCCCCAAAAGATGGTGGCTCAATCCTGATCGCCTGTGCTTCATCAGAGCCGAGTCGCTTCACCTTCCCTCAAATTTTCCTGAAATGACCGAGTCATAAGGATCCCATAGGACTGCTTTTTGGACAACGAGGATCATGACCTTCACTCTGTTTGTTTCAAGCCAAAAGTCCTCGGTGAGGAAGTTGAGATGATCTGACATGCAGCACATCAGATATCCCTGCCCAAAGGAAATCCGGAGTTTGCTTTATGTTCCTTCTTCCAGGCGGTCGTTGCCTGGGAGGTCTCTCTATTTAAATTCACACCCACATGTCAATTCTTGCATACCCCAGACACCCCATGTATGCCATATTTGCCTACATTGGGTTGATTTGGGGGCCAATGGGGCGGCATATATTCCAGTCCCATAGAGTGTTTGGGTACTTGAGCGAAGCGTGCGAGGCTCAGAAGATATCAAATCTGAAGGAACTGCGTGGATGGTTTTGAACGGTGGACACTGCTGCGGGGCGGGGCGCCCTGTGCTTAGTCATGCACAGGTCACGAGTCAAGCCACAAACGGTGGCAGGCAACAGATCACTTCAACAATCGATTGCCTCCACAAACTGTTACAAACGGGATTGTTCCACTTCAAAGTCATAGAGAACATAAAGCAACAAAAATAAAAAGAGAGAGAGAGAGAGAGACAGAGATGCCGTACCTGTATCATCCTGTATCTACGTCTCGTCTCGGTCGTGGGTTCCGAACCCGTCATCATGGACCCGCCGTGTCACGACCGCTAAGCCTGTGCCTTCCAGGGCGAAGCCAGTAATTCACTCAAAACGCGGGGCGTGTTGAAAAACGAAGACAAACCGGACAGGATTTCAACAAACCCACGACTTCTGCCAAAGCAAACTGGCTCGCATTTGATCTCTGGCTCGCATAGATGTCTGCTGTTCATGCTAGCTTCCTGCGATGGAATTGCGGACCGTCGAAAACAACCAGCACAGCCCCACCCTGTTGGCCACCGCACACATAGCCGCTGTAGCCGGGGATGGTCGGCACCTGATCGTTAAAGCCAAATAACCTCTGGCGTCATTGTGGTGATGGAGTGGATGATGGAACACTCGACATGCAAAACAAACAACCTGAGAAGCTGCAAAACGAAAGCCAGCGCTTTTGTGGGGCTGATTCGCAGTGCAAAGCCGGGAAGAAGCTATTTCCACTGTCTGTGAAGCCTGATGCGCGCCATACCTGGGAACAGAATTGTAGCTACAAGACCTTTATTTTCAAGGTGGCCTGAACAGAGTGTTTTAGGGCAGCAAACCGTGGTCTCAGGCCACCTTGAATGTAGCTTGAAAACCACAGCTACATAGCTACCCTGGGTGTCTATACCTGGCAAGGTGCCAACTACACCTTTATTTTCAAGGTGGCCTGAACAGAGTGTTTTAGGGCAGCAAACCCTGGTCTCAGGCCACCTTGACTTTAGCTTGAAAACCACAGCTTTGAAGCCTCATGCGCGCCATACCAGAACTGTAGCTACCCTGGGTCCGTATAAATAGTATGTTGCTATACCTCTTACACACCTATACAAGTTCAAAGCACGAATGAGACTTCAAGGCTGTGGATTGCTGTGCGTGTGTAGAGGTTCTCAAGCGGTTGACGGAAAGGGAACTTGAAGTACTATACCTGGTAGCTGCACTATAGCTACCCTAGGTCTCTCTATCTTGCAAGGTGCCAACTACACCTTTCCATTCAGATGATGCAAATGATGCATTTGGCATTTCTTGCATCACCACCCCTCAAAAATCACCTCCAACACAACCTCAAAAAACCTTCCCTCGGAGCACCCTCCTCCCCCAGCATGTGCTGAGTTGACGTATACCTTTCTCGGGCCACCCCCCCAGACCCCCTAACTACTCACTTCGTTCGCCAGACACAACTCCGCTAGCGCCTTCTACGAAGGCTGGCTTTCGTAATTAAAACGATTGTTATTATTAAATCTGTGCGCCTTCCGAGCAAATAATTATGCATGTGTTTTATGCTTTGTAGTGTATATATATATATTTATATACATTCTTGAAATGTTTACCTCGCCAGCCAGATCGCCAACCTCACAAACCTGCTGGGTGTCCCCACCCAGTAGTGCCGCACAATGCTGGCCTTGGCCTTCCCCAGTGGGTGCGGCTCCTCTGCGGGGTCCTGGAAGCGTTCCTCCGGGTGTGGCAACGCTTCCCGCTGCCTCGGTCGAAGGCATCGAAGACGACGAGAAGGTGCCCACACGTGTTCACTACGCGCCAAGAAAAAAAAAACGAGTGTGGACAAGGGTGGATGATTCTGGATGATTGTGAGTCACTTCGCATTTCCAACAAACATAGCGAAGTCGTTCGGGATTGCATACTCGGATCCAAGGAAAGCCGGTTGACCGCGCCGGATCTGGATCCCCCCCCCCCGTGGTGTCGTGTGGCACCTAACAGTGTCGAACACATCACCTGAGAAGGTACGACTGGATCCCTAGGGTTGGTCATGTTTGGTGGTGTCGAGATGTCATGTTTGGCAGTGTCTCGGAGATGCTTTGCTGGTGTCTCCGTTAAGTGTCGCTGGTGTTTTGGTCATGTTTGGCGGTGTTTTGCTTACGTTTTTGTTGTGTCTCGGTATCAATCTTGGTGCGTGTATGAACGTTGCGCTCGTATGTCCATACGCCTGGTGGCGCTTGACAAATCAATTTGCGCTTGAACGCATAGAGGCAAAATGATGATGACTATAAATGGCAACAATACTACTGCCAAAGGAGATGGACGGACGATGACGGATGCATAGTTTATACACGGCAGGTACAATGAATGCAGTTGTCAAAGAGACCACGGTTTAAGTATTGGCACGACGGAAGATACTCGATTGGACATGCAAGCGCGTAGTTTATACATATAATAGCAAATTACATGCAAACAACAATTTAAAGAGTAACATTGATATAAGCAGAAAATGTACTCACTCGTTCGCGTATAAGTCATCCGTTGGCAGAGGTACATGCATTCACTGCATTAATGTATAGGTTCTGTGTACTGTTTAAAACCATCCTCTTCCATGGTTATTTAGGCAAAAAACATACGGCAAATCTTTGCTATGGGCCTTGTCAGCTGGGTTAATTCATGGAAGCTAGCTTAGTCCAGGTTGGATGATTCTGGATGAGTAAATCTTCTCTTTTTTCAGCTGAGCCAACTGCCTTCTCCATGTTCAATTCTTTGCCACGTCTCAGCTTGGCACGAGGCGGCCAGTGCATGTTGCAGCGCAGCGCGGCGCTGGTCCATTTGCCACCTGAGGCGGCGACGTCGCCGAAATCGCGACGTCGGCGTTGTGGGCAGCGAAGGAAGGTTTAGTAGTACACTGCCGGTCTATCCATGTCCATTAATGCATCCTAATATCAGCAACAGTGGATGATGAGGACTTTGCAGGCCTGGTTTGCTGACTGTTAGGACAGACCCAAACAATGCCCTTCCATCCAAGGACCATCCGCATCTTCGGACCTGGCGGCGGCCAGTCCCTGCCGCTTTTGGGAGCAAATGAAAGCAAACCAGCAAACCCAGCTAGGTTCAATACCAACCCCAGTTGGGAGCAATGAAAGCAAGCTAGGGTTAGGACAGAACCAACCCTAGCTTCAAGATGTAGACCATTCTCGCATCCGAACGGCCCAATCGATGAAGAGCCAGCCAAGTCGCCACCATCGCCCGAGCGCGATCTCGGGAACCGACGCAGAACCGGTCCAATGCCGCCAAGTGGCTGCTCGCTGCGTGCGCCCGCGCCGACGGCTGCTTGGGTTCGGCCATAGATGTCCTGCAGCTCGGAGAGAGGAACAAATCAGCTTTGTCAAGGTGAGAAATGGTTTGAGGCCTGGGCTGCCCAGGGCACCTGGTAGTCAATGAAAGAGTGCACCAAAAGCGATTTCTTCGGTCTAAACATGTCTAAAACGGGTGATTTGGATTGAATTGACGGTTCTTGGATGAGGTGGAGAAGAGGTCTTCCTTGAAACCCCAGCATTCAAACACCCTCACTCAGAAATCAAGTCAGGACTCTCCTTATAAAGCTTGAAACCTTCCCTCAAATCACTCTCTTTTGCTGTTCAACTGCTGCTGGCCTCCATCCTCCCATCCTCCTCCGAAATCCCATCCTCCGCCTTCGCCGAGGGGATGAAACCCGTGTAGCCAGGCACTCGAGCATTCATGCCTCGCGGGGGCCCGGGCTTAGGCCGTCGGAGTCCAAAGCGGTGCTCCATGCGGAGCCTGCTTGGAATTGCTCCGAGAAGGCGGTGAAAGCTCAAACAAGCAACAACAATGCCCAGACACGACTAATGGGACTGCCATAGGACTGCCGATCAGTTGGGGTGGTTCTTTTGGGGGGTCAATGTAGGCGGCATATATGGCAGTTTCATGGAGTGTCTGGGATGGGTATGAGAGTGTTTTTCTAGCACCGCCAGGAAACATACTATAAATATTACAGGTTGAGTGGCTGGTCCCTCATGGTCCCTCTGTTTTCCAGAATGCCTTTGTGAACAACTTGAACAACTTGTGATTCCCTCAACTGACTTTGTGCAGAACGGATGGTGATTCTTCAAGAAAGTGCATTACGCCAACATGACCATGGAACAATTTGGAACATTATCTGGGCTTGTCCTGGTCCGTAATCTAGATAGATTAAGGAATACGTTGGACTTCAGCCCAATGAATGCCTTTTGTTCAACCTTCTTCAAGGAACCTTCAAGGACCCCGAGACCAAAAGCTTGTTCTGTGACAGACCGCCAGACCGCCTCACCTCGGTTCCCCCCGACCGAGTTCATCCACAAAGGCGTTCGGAAAAGACACCAAGCATAGCAAGCAAGCTCTATTCTCCTTCCCTCTCCTTGAGTGTCCAATGAAACGATCCTGAGAAATGATCAACAACCATGGATCGTGCAAAACACCAGCAAGAATCCTGATGTTGGGGCATGGGAATCCCTGTTTGGAGACTCATTCCAGCACCAGTCTGACGGTCCCCACACTGCTCGCCAATGGCGCGGCGTGCCCGCTCACGCTGGTCCTGCTTGCCAGGTTCTTGCAACGGGGTTGGCCGAAAGAATCCAAGCCGTCCAAGGCTTCGGATAAGATACCTAGCTGGACAATTCCACCAGTCGGACGAGTACATTTTCATACAATTCCAACTTGGAACTTCAAACAACCAGAGATAAATGGTTGTTCCAATATGGCAATTGAGATCCTTAACATAAGAGGTGGTTGTTTCGGGAAAATCTGGCACACATACTTGCCCAAGCCGACTTGTTTCTCTCCCCAAGTGCGTCCCGGTGGAGGTTCGTGGTCAAAACCCAACTGAGGCATCTCATAGTTCCAGGCCAAAACCGCTTCAATAGCCTAAATAGCCTTCAGTTTGTGCTCTGTCTGACCTTGGCCGCTTCCGGAGCCTAATCAGCTCACCAAACCCACACCATGTGCTGTCCAGTGTTGCTTGAGACATCTCAGTCGGGTCACTGGGGTCTGACAGCTGCATGGCCTGATCGATCCTTTGAGGTTGGGGGGCTTCGTAGAAAACCCAGACGAGTGGCAGACACTAGACCTCCACACACACGAGACCTCCACACATCTAACTAACTTCTAAATCTCAAGACTTCATCCGGAAACGACACTGAAACCTCTTCGGGAAGACTGGGAAGCCCATCGGTCTCGAACCCAAGCCCAGACCGCCACGAAACGGCGAGCAGAAACGGCGCCGTGACGTGGCGTCGCTCGGACCTCTGGCAGCTCTACAGCACCTCGGGCAGGGCGCCAGCGCAGGTCCTGGCGGCGCAAGTGGCCAAGCAAGAGCAGGGTCTACCCAATTAGTAACAAAAAGCATTGCTACTGGGAGCAAGGACGCTACTAGGAGCAAAGGGCATCGCTACTGGGAGCAAGGACGCTACTAGTAGCTCCTGGCATTACTACTATATAGTAACAAGAAGCCATTAGGAACAAAGGCATCGCTACATCGCTACTAGCTACAAGCATTTTCAAAGGGGAATTTGTTGAAGTTTTTATGGAATCCTCAGTCGAAAGCCAACAATACCTGCAAGGCACTGGCAGCAAAATCTAGGTGCAATTCTGCAATGCACTGTTCTTTGAGTAACGCACTGGTGGAATGAACTATGGGATCATGATAAAATTGATAAAACGTGAACAAAGGAACATGACGATAAAAACAACCATCGCATCATATCGCATCCAATCCCAGCCAGATCTTCAGAACCAGTGAACTCAAGGCCGTCGCTTTTGGGTCGTTCCAGCCCAAGGCCGTCGACAGCGCGACCGACGGCGAGGTCATCGCTCCTGTGCAGGACGATCCCTGGGAGCACACAAGGGCGTGATGCCCGTGGGACGCCAAGGCCTCGGACCCGGAGCTTGCTCGTGGCCGAGCACCGAGCACCGAGAACCATGCGCTCCGCTGGTCCTTTGCACATCGGTCGTGTGGATTTGGACGGAATGAACAGGAAGATGCCGGTCCAAAACCCTGCGTTCTGCAGGGTCAAAACCCACCATAGGAGGGTTTAATGGTGAATATCAGCAAATTTGGATTATTTTGGGGAGTTGGAAATGAGTTGGACATAATAGCCGTTTCTTGGAGTGTGAATAGGACAATTCTTGGGAAAAAAAGGTACTTGGACCCCCACAAGGGGTCCTTTTTGCAACCCTGACAGCCATTGGACAACTGCTTTTCTCAAAGAGCAAGCATGCTTCTCCGGAGTTCGGCACATTTCGGATTAGTTGCGTGCTGCGTTCCATGGCCCAATCTTCGGCAGGTGCTTAGTTATAACGGCGCGATGCCGGGCGCGCTTAGATGTTGGAGATGTTTCAGGTTCCAGCATTTCACCCACACACACATTGAAAAGCGTGGTTAAACAAAAAGGTTGCGAATGATCTAATAAAAGGCACTCAGAATCCAACGGGGTCCTTTGAAACAGAACGTCATCAACGGAGCAACGGCATCTCCACGGACCCGGGGTCCGACAGCGTTGATATCGACCGCGTTGGACATGGAGTTCGGTTGAAGTACCACCTGGTGCTTCGTAGAACATCTAAAATTGAAGGAATCTCTATTGTGGGATCATTCAGAATCTGCAGCGGTGGTACTGCAGTTCCTCCGTTCAGACACGACCCTAATTACTACTTCTGGGATCATTCAGAATTCATGTGTTCCCTTACTTTTAGCGCGAGTCTGTTTTTTTTTGACAGTCTGAGTCAGAGTGCGCAGAACTAGTGTACTTATTCAGTGCACCTATCAGCTCGTTTCGCTTGGTCCATCTTGGTCCTGACCCTTGTCTGGTGAGACATTCTCTAAGGCACGCGAGCTCATGGTGCGTGTCGGGCATGGGCTGCAAGCTCTTCTGCCTGGACAGTGGATCAGAAGGACCAGCACTAAGGAGCACTTTAAGGATCTTTGTGACCACTGGCGACCCGTATATGCCGTAGATATCTATATTTTACATATCTTGGGTCGTTCTATCATATTACCAGGGACCACTGGATGATCGTTAGTAAAGGCGTTTCTCTAAAATATAGTATAGTGAGATATATATATATATATGTAATTGTTTGCCAACTGTTACAGGTAATGGGACAAACACAATACATATCAATAGACATACATAAGATATCATAGAGTACAGGCAAATAAGATTGATCAACCTCTATGGGTGATGAACCTGTATCCAGGAATCTGACGATGTGAATGTTGGGCATAGACACTGCTCATGAATTCTGATTGAAACACTGGAATCACTGCAGGCACTAGTCACTATTCCTTTGGGATTGCAGTTTGCTCCATCCCCCCAAGTAATTGTGCTGTGCTTCAGTGTGAAACTCATGATTTGTTAGTTCCCCAATCATTGCCCAACAAATGATGACCAACTAACAACCAGGCCCTTTACAGTACCATCTTTTGCCCACTAACCGTTGGACTAGCCATTCCAAAATGACCGAATGAGCGAGCCCTGACCCTTCGCCACCCTTCGCGCACCATGCTCCACACTCCCTCAGGGTTCCAGGCAGCACCGTGCAACCCGTGCCACCTGCCGCCCCGGGCCCCGCCGGGTTTCACGCGTGGCCCGGCCGCCGCGAGCCACAAGAAGGGCCGGATCGGAGCAGTTCTTCGAAGGAATGTCTGGAGGAGAAACTCCTTGGGGAGGCGACCTGAGCTAGGCTGTTTGGCCTGGCGAGCTGGGCTGTGTGACGCGACATGGAGGATGGTGGAGGATACGAGTTTCATGGTGGGATGGTGGATGTTTGCGGAACAGAACTTTGAGGAACGGAGTTGTTTGAACATAAACCAATCTTGGGGTAATTATGTTGGACGTGCAAAAGCTTTTTAATTTGATGGAACCAATCACTGCCTAGTGAAGGCTCCCCTAGTGAAGGTGCGGCCCCGTGATGCCTGATAACATATGATATGGTTCTTTCTTTTGGAATGCATCATTAGAAATTGACATGGGTCTCTTAGCTCTGAAAATCACAGCACCTTTGTCTCACAAATCGCACGTCGGCACGTCTGATACTCAGCCTTTCAATCCACCCACCAACCCACCATGCATCAGACACATCGGTGTGGACGCTTCCGCATGCGTCAGCGACGATCCGAGCGAGCGGCGGACGCTCTACACACAGAACACATGAGCTAGGAACCTCAGAGACTAGGGAACCTCGTCAGCTGAGAAACTCTTCGTTACCGGTTCTTTGAAGCATCATCTTACCGATCTGACGTTGCGGTCACGAGACGAACGTCGGCACTTGGGCTCCGATCCACCCCAAGCGGCACCCAGGTTTTCATCTTCGTTGCTTTTGATGAAGGGCCATCACATATGACGTCGCAATGAAGATCGTCATGTTACGTTGCAAATCATGTCCTCAGGAGAATCTGCACACCCTCATATAACATGTGAAACATGTTACCAAGCCCTATAAGAATTCGATGATCAGCCCAGATCCAAGCACGTTTACTTTCTGGGGGGGTCCGAGGTATTTCTCATCTAGTTCATCGATTATATACAGCTTGTGGTTGACAACCCAGCATCTCCATGGCCTTTGGCCCATAAATGCATATCCCCCAGTTGTTGTGGTATTGGGGGTACAAATTCTCAAACATCTTCGGCCCAACAAGAACTCAGGACCTCAGCTCAAAATCAAGCATCAAGCCGCCAACCACCTTTCTCCAGCCGCAGGCGATTCTGTTCGGTCCCCGTTCTTCCATCTTCTCAGGCATTGCTGAGCGCAGCCGGGGCCTTGGGAGCTGTTTTCCAGGGCGAACGGACCGTTCGATGCAGCGGGCAGGTGCAGTCATACACTCCGACGAACAGGTGACGTCACCATGGAAAATATGGAAGGTCCGTGCGAATTCCGTGAGAAGAATTCCGTGGTCGATGCTTTTCAAGTCGTACTGAATCAGGTCGGACCATGTTCATCCATAGGAGCCGCATGTGTTCGGCGCTCAGTTGAGGCGGTCCATGATAGATAGTTCTGGGCCGTTCTGGGTCTCTGGGGTTTGGGGGAGAAAACGAGAACGACACCGTGGCCACGAAGCGAGTTGATGTGAAACCAACAGATGGAGGTGATTCAAACAGGACAAGACGTCCACATTCACAGCCTAAACAAGCTCCTTTCACAGCCTTTAACGGTGATTAGATGTGATTAGAGGTATAGATTGATCGAATATGTGTTTCTATACGGCAAAGGCAACTGAAGACCTCTCCGTAATTCGATGTGCAAGAACTCTCCGTGTCGTCTTAACGATCACATCTCAAACGATCGTCGCCTGTCACCCTGGCCTGGTCCGAAGACACCCTGGATGAACAAGCATTCACAGGCCGAAACAGGTGAACTTCCTGTCTTTCTCGGTTGAAACTGGTTCTCCCTGCTAGAGCACAATCGAGTCTTTCGGCCTTGCCCAGGCTCCCCGCCCGGCAAGACTGTGAAAGCAGCCAGTTCCGTCGGTTTTTGCGGTCGCACACCAGAAGCGTCCCTGCGACCCACGTCACGTCAAACGAAGGAGGCCTCTGAATCGCCCTGACTTTTGAACTAATTATTCCACAAACTACTGCAATTCTTAAGATTGACGCTACCCTCGCTACCCTTCCTGAGATCGAAATCACCAGCCACCTGAGCTTTTGACAAGTCCAGATATCTCGTTGCGGCCAGGTAGCAGCTCCCTGCGATCGACGTTGCCGGACGCGAAACGACGGGTGCCGGTGCCTGTCATGCCTGTCGTGAGGTCAGGGACGCAGAACTGCGTGATGTTCGATAACCCATAGCCGCATATAGCCGCCCTAGCCCTAGCCATCCCCAACAGGGGAAAAATCAGATCTTGGGTGTCACCAAATAAGGAAAAAACCATGATATAATTGAAGTAAATGGCACATCAAACCTTTTCAAAGGTCCATACTCTATATCTATTGCTGACTATACGAGTGGTTTCACATAACACCCAAATCACACAACAGCCCAAGTAGCCCTGCTGTTGACAAGTTTCAGTCGATGCTTTGAGGCCGTCGAATTCTCTAGCACCCAAAAACTATGACAAACATTCGTTTAAAAAAAATCCAACGCCGCCCCATCCAAGGGTCGTTCATGGACCAGCTGCCAGCTGCCAGCCTCATGTCCGAAGCCAGCCTGATGGGACGTCAGACACAGGTGGCGCCGTGGGTTATGGTCGACCGACCCAGGAGACCTGTCGGACAAACGAAGCAACTGGTGGACGACCAGTTAGGGCTCCTTTCGACCTAACAGCTGTATATAATAGCATGTAATAGACCTGAATCGCTATCATGGAGGTGGTAAAACATGGTAAACCCCCCCGTACCTGTAAGAGGAAACTAGCTTGGAGATGGGGCGGCATGTTCCAACTCGTTCTTGCGAGTGAGGGAGCGAAGTGGCAAGCAGCTGAGGCACGAAGTTTCAACTTGCGTCCGCTGAGCTTGCGTCAATGGCAGTGCAACCACACACTCAAAACTAGCCAAAGCACCGCAACATGGTGTTCAACATACTCTTGTTCACACCACGCATAGTGCAATCAAAACATGCGCAAATTTGCTGGAGCAATCCTTGATTTCCCCGATCACTCCTACTTACTTTCATCTTCCAGGACCTTCAACGTGGCCTCTTTGGAGTCTGCATACGTGACCTCTTCAGGGAAGGACATTTCGTGACCTCAAACCACTGGGATCTCTTAAGTTCGGTCACGTACTGAAGGTCCTGGTGATGAACTCGTTCCATCTCCTTGAAGGTTTCCCGCTGGTCAGGTTTCCCTCTTCGATCTGCTGGACAGATCACGGACGATCGGATCGTATGGACAACAGATGCTGACGATCGGATCGCGACGAGGTTGGTAGGGAAAAGGGAAAGTTTTCCAACAAAAAGAATCCCAACCTTCCCAACCTTCCCTCATTCCCTATGAGTCGCACAAGTCAGACAAGCCAAACAAAAGAACTCAGCTTACTGACACAGCAGAAACCGACGCCGTCCACCCAGTTGACACTCTTCCCATCCGTCCGGCCTTTCGGGCAGCGCCAACGAGCAGCGCGCCTGGCCAAGCTGGAAAGCGACTTGTTCGTCTCGGCGTTGGGATGGGAGGATTCGTCAAGTCATGTAGACTTTAGGTATAGCCCAGCCTCCCAGGGAGTGGATGATGATAAGGCCAGTTGCAGGCCTTTCCATCTCAATACATCATCTCAAACAGCGACTGGTTTACTGGGTAACACGCAGACGACGCAGACGCAGAAGACTTGAACAACGCCCCCATGAAAACCGGGCTTCTTCAGAAACCTCATGTCCCGTGTGTGTCGTCGGAACCGGTCGGAAGCGTCCGACGACGAAGAACCCGAACTCGTCGAAAAGGGTAACCATCAAACCCTAGGGCTCCTGGCCTACCTCCGTTTCGAAGGTGGTTGGGGTGGGTTTTTGGGGGTCTAACCACCGAACCTGAGGATATGGTTGGAGCCCTAGGGAACATGGACAGGATGTTATGGACCACTCCGACGAACACATGGTTACGTGGATGGGGGGGCCACTGTTTGTAGAGGAAAGTCGTCTTGCGAATTCGGGGCCATGGCATCCACTTCCATCTGTCGTGAGTCAGAGTGTAGTGTAATCATCTGTCTAAGGTCTACGTTAAAACAGTGAGGAATGACCCTTGTGATATTGGTCGGATCGAACGAAGTGCACTGAATGTTGATGTGCTTTATATTTGAACAACTGAAGCCGTAGTTCTCAGGAACGTTGATATCTTCATGTTTGACAGTGGGAGACTATGGCATGCCATGAGAAAAACATTCACAAAGAACCTGAAAGCAATGCAAGAAAGAAGAAACAGTCGGACCAAATCAAGGGTCGATCATGTTCAGGTCTATGTCAAGCTGCTAGGGCTTGAGGTTTTAGCTTGGACACTTTTAGCCCGTACCAGCATCGAGGATCCAATCAGTTCAATTCGCTTTAGCTCATAAACAGTTTCTGGCGACAAAGCCCGGTTATTCGGTTTATTCTGTGCAACTCCCCAACTAGGTTATGTCCAACTCATGGTCGGATGTGTGGTTTTTTCTCTTCGACATCTGACCACTAGTCGCCCATCCTTTCAAGGTCAAGAAAACAAGTGAAACTACATGGCGATGGGTCAAAACTGGGAGACATTGGTTGAGCACGAAAATGAACAGAATGGCCCACAGCCACATGTAGGTGATGGCAGCTTTCAGCTACGGAAACAGAATGCTTTCTCTGGCTGTCTGGAGGCCGGCGGCTATCTCAAGCGACTCTCTCTCTCTCTCTCACTCTGGAACTCACATGGACATGGAAAACCCTCTCTTTGTGGAGGAACATGATGCGCAACACAGTGAAGAAGTGAAGAAGTGCTCTATATGAACAACCTCCAAGTGGGATTCTAAGAGAAAACCCTCTGTTTGACATGATGCACATACTTCTTCTTTCTGAAGAGTCAATCTCCCCTCAGAAACGCCAAAGGGTCTGAGGAGGTTCTTAGTCGAGCCATGCGATGTTTGGTATTTGGACATGCCATATTAGTTCCAGGGAGTGTCACCGTCCAAAAAGGTAGCTAAATACCCGCCTTGAGAACATGACAACGCCCATACTCACTAAGACGAGTTTCACCCGTAGTGGCGGCGTTCACGAGATTGTTTTCAAAAACCGGAGGTGAACTCTTCCTCTGCACGGATGAGCAGGATTTATGATATTATAAGCAGCAAGTTGTATCAAGTCTATACAAGTTCATGTAACGTGAAGGGGTCAAAGGACATATGTTGCAGAACACTCTGGGACACTGCGACAATATAATCTTCAACTGCCAGGCGCGCAACCGGGACCAGGATCGTGGCTTCCCAAGGCAATCAGCAACTCAAAATGGTTCTGTAGACAAAGAGCATAATCCATGGACTCTATTGCTAGCAAGCCGCCCATGTGGAAACAAATTCTCCTCTATATATAGCAGTTCTATATTCCATTGCTTTCCTGCTGATTGGCTTTACTTGTTCTGTACATGACCCGGGCATACCTGGGCCATCTTGTTCATCTTATTCCCCTTGTCACTTTCAGGTCAGAGTTTTGCTGTTGCAGCATGCAGTCAAACGCAAGAAAGGCTGTGGCACCTGGAAGTCTGGGGACAAGAAAGCTGCTGCAATCTGCTGCAGTCCTGCAAACGAAATGATCAGCTCTGTCCGAAGCATGATCTGCAAAAAGCGGCTGTAGTGAAGGGTGTGGGCCACAGGCAATTGTCTAGCCAAATACTTTGGGTACTACTTTGGGTCTATCCCATTTATAGTAACAGTAGATGATGGTTCAGTTGCAGGCCTCTCTCTCTTTAAAATAGTGATGTTCTTGTTTACCAACTGTTGCACGTAAGTTCGGACCGACTCATCAAACGACTTGCTTTGTGCCAAAACGGAGTTCCGCCGCCTCTTTCGGTCCCTAGCCCTTCCAGTCGACATGTTTGCTGCTTCAGCTGATCCTTTTGCTCAAACACACCCCGGCGCGCCGGTGGAAAGCACGACCTTCTGCGCTGTTTTCTGCCCTTCTGCGCCGTTTTCTGCACACTCGGTCCTTCTTTGGCCTTGGCTTTCAGCTCCACCTCTCGAATGGCCTTGGCTTTCCCATCGACCGGATGTTCAGAAAGGCGGAGCGGAGCGGAGCTCGCGTCCGGCGGTTCCACCGTGCTTCGGATCCAGATGGAGGGATGTGTTCTGCCCAGAAAGATCTGTAAAAGCATCAGATCCATTGTACCAGTCTAGTGACTCGTCGGTGGCCTAGTCATCTTGATGTTTCGTTTTTTGCAGCGCATCAAAGTGCAAATCCATCCGGACCTACCTTCCAGAGTTCCCCAACGAAGCACGCCTTCACCCAAGAAAGTGATTCCCTGTCCTGCCTGCTGATCTATATGAAGGATGTTGTCGCAACAATGATTCTAAAATATTGAAAACAATTCAACACCAATAAGCATCTTGACCTCCTCCTTCCTTGACATTTCTCCGGCCACATGCGGCCACCATTCACCATTCCCCGTGACCAGGAGGCCCGGAAAAAAATAGCAAAAATTACTTTAATTCAAAATTCCCCACCCTCAAAGAATTGGTCTTCACAAGAGAAAAGCGGTTCGGCGCGAAAAGGATTCTTTATTGAAAACAAAACCACACATCGAATACTTACTTGTGAGGTTTCTGAACTTCGATATTTTAATGCCTGGCAACCCCGCATCCCTGCCAAGTCAACTTGTGGTGGATATGCTGTGGAACTGGTACTTGGGAGCACTCTGGTGAATGTGCTGGTGTAAAGGCTACGCTGGGCTACTCGGGGCCACTCTGGTGGATGTGCTGTGTAAGGGCTACTCTGGGCCACTGTGGGCCACTCTGGTGGATGTGCTGTGTTCTTTGGGTTGCTCTGAGCTACGCTGGGACCACTCTGGTGGATGTGCAGAAGTAGCGAGTCTACTGAAGTCCAAAGTTCTTAAAATCTAACAGCCCCACAGTCCTACGGGTGGGGAAAAAACTGCTTTGATAAGTACATTACAAGTCTACAACTATCCTGCGATCTCTTTGGTAAATGTGCTGTGGAGAAGCTAAGTTGCGCTACTAAAAACTGTGGTTGCTGTGGACAAGCTAAGTTGAACTACTTAGAAATCAGTTTGTGAATGTGCTGTGGAAGAGCTAGGCAGCTAGGTTTAGCTACTCAGGGATCAGTTTGGTGAATGTGGTGTGAATACTCAGAGGTCATTTTGGTGAATGTGCTGTGGAAGTGCTACGTTGAATTACTCAGGGATTACTTTGGTGAACAGGGATCAGTTTGGCGAGCGTGCTGTGAAAGAGCCACTTTGGGCTACTCAGAGAACACCTTGGTGAACGTGCTGTGGAAAAGCTAGCTTGAAAACTCAGGGATCACTCTGGGGAACGTGCTGTGGAAGAGCTACTTTGGGCTACTCCGGGATCTCTTTGGTGAACATGCTGTGGAAGTGCTGCGTTGAACTACTCAGGGATCACTTTGGTGAGTGTGCTATGGAAGAACTGCTTTGGGCTACTCAGGGATTACTTTGGCGAGTGTGGTGTGGAAGAGCTAAGTTGGGCTAGTCAGGGGTTCCTTTGGTGAACGTGCTGTGAAAAAGCTACTTTGGGCTTCTCAAGGATTACTTTGGTCAACGTGCTGT